TAGTTTGTCCTTGCTAAAACTAAAGTTAAAGGGGCTTGGACTCAAGAGACGTAAAAGTGACACAAACCCTTATTGAAATTGAATAAATGATTATTGAACAGTTATTAATAAGTGGTAATATAGACTGCCTTAATACTCAGTTGTCTTCTAAACTATTATCAAACTCATCCAGCACCTATAGATGAGGATTAATTGTTATTCATTTATCATAATACAGCACCTGTGTTGCACTAATCTTCAATACTACATCACCATATGCATCACTTTTTAACAAATCAACCTCGTACATTGCAGAATCCTTTCTGAAGCCAACTCCTTTTGTATTAGGAGTCACTATCATTATGATATGACAGCAACTGATCTATGATGAAAAGTGTGATAAAGCTTTACCATTAGAGTGTGTTACCTGCACTGTGCTCTAAACTTTCTTTCCTACTTTGCTACTTGTAGCCTTTGATACTCTCTTCTTCACCTTTGCCTGAATTTTACTCTCTACTAAATCTTGCCCTCTACTAAATCTAAAAGAATAATAAAATTGTAAAGACAATTTCGCTCAACTAATAATAAAAATAAAAAAAACGTTCAACAATCAGAGAGACCATGATAATAATAATAATAAACAAAGGAAAGCAAACTGAACAACAACAATAATAATAATGAATGCTACCTTCAGCCTCCTCAACATCATCATCTTGGTTAACCAATTCAGTTGCCTTCGCAACAATACTTTCTCCTAAGCTAACAATACTGGAAACGATGTCACTTGTACCAGAGCTCTGGCTTGTATTGTGTTGTATGAGCATGATCATCACCTTGACCTTAACCTGCAACCGCCATTTTATAATAGCCACACCTATTATATCACGTGACTCATAATATTTATTGAGCATATCCGGAAGGACATCCGCCCGGGAAGTCTCCCCCCGGGCGGGTTCCGGACGGATACCGGTCCGGGAAACTTACACGGACCGTGAACGGACCCGTTGACGGGTGACCCTCTCGGCCACCATATGTATGCAATGTAGCATTGTAAACCGATTCAACCACAGTTACGTGTGGACACAAGCTGGTTTCTGAACCGCTTTGATCCAAACTGGTTTGTAGTGTAAACGGGGCTCATTAAAAAAACATAAGCGGTGTGTCTATTAAAATTAATATTTAATTTTGAATGTGGTTCTTTATGCTCACGTGGGTACTGAGTAGATAGCCATAACCGAGGCCATAGCCAAGATTCTTGTTTGAGCTTCTTTGAAATGGCCCCATTAGGTGAGTATAAAAATTAATGTTATTGTAGCTACATTATGATTATATTAATCTATTTTCTTGTACAGATATTAGCAAGTT